CGGTGTTTGTGGTCGAGAAATGGTTTACAGAAGAGTTTCTGGACTGGGGCTTCGACATATTTGGGTCATCCTATTAAAGAGTTGTCAACTACTACGATTGGAGGTAAAACTCCATTGGATGTTTGGTTTGGTAGTGTCACTTTGGTTGAGGCTTCGATGAAAGAGCTATTTGACTCTCAGCAGGTGGAGAGTTTTGAACAGACCTTAGATGTATCGCAGCGGGCGGAGAGTGATGCTACTCCATATTAGATGGAGATTACTCCACATACTCCAGATCATACAGCATCATTTAGGATTCCAGCAGAGGTGATACAATTTGGGGATCAATTGGTTTTGGATGTAGATGATGGGTTGAGTTTTGATACGAGTGCAGCTGATAGATGTAGTTTGGATATGGCCATTGGTTTACCTCAGGTGGAGGTGTTTGAGGCCATTGGAGGTGCTATCAGCCGCAGAGTTGATGATATTGGAGAAGAATTATGAACTCTTCTATTGGATTAAGGTCGTTCGCGGTCGTTGGGTGAACTACATTCGGCTTGATTCCTCGGACAAGAGGATACATAGGCAGTCTTTATGATGCAGCCGATTTGATGGGTTGATACCAACATTTGGAGAGTGATTACATTCCCGTTTGGGTCTCGACTTATTATGGATTGAGTCCGTTGTCATGAGTCCGTTGCCATGGCGTACTGGACGTAACAAGTGAGACATTAGGTTTGGTTGGTGTCACTTAGTTTTGGAAGAAACTTTGCCGAGGTGGAGAATTGTGAGCAAACATGGGGGCCCATCCACTCACGTGGGTGAAACAACTCATCAATTGCAGGGAGAGCACGTGAACGAGAGGTGTGTGTTTCGGCTGTTTCCCTTTCCGCTTGAGAAGATAGAGCACGTGAATGTGAGGCCCATCCGATTGCTAGCAGCCTATAAATTCTCTATTTTTTCTAGGGTTTCGTGCGAGCAAAGCAGGGGGAGAATGTGGAAATTGCAGCTGTAGAGAGTGCGTGCGAAGGAGGGTGTTTTGTGCAGTCGGCTTTCTCTTTACTTTGGCGACGTGCAAAGGCGTGCAAAGGTGTTGGCAGCGTTCTTTTTGGGCGGCGTGCAAAGAGTCATTTTGTGCTTTTGAGAGAGATATTTGTGTGAGAGGTTTGAGAGATTGTGTGAGGGTTTAGATTGAGTGATTGTAAACCCTAGTTGTATTATCTCCCTAGTAGATCTCCCCCTCCTTGCCCCGTGGATGTAGGCAATTTGTCGAACCACGTAAATTCGTTTGTTTTGTGTTTGTGGCTATTGTAATAATTTTTAGGATCCCTCGACAAGTCAGTCCTAGAATTGATGAGAGGAAGAGCCGATATCTCACTTTGTTGAGATATTCGCTTCAGATTCTTGTTTCGTTGGTGAGACGGGAATTCTTATTGATTTTTCTCTCTTATTGTGCACCAGAAACTCTGTCGAAATTTCTGCTGCACACAACATAAGCTGCATTTGAGTAGTACTTTAAGGTCTCAGGTTCGACTCTCCTAGGAGCACTCACGTGAATTTAAATTCGTAGAATACCCAAAGTCGTATGTTGTGAGGTTGTGGGTGGGGGGCTGTCCCTTGGCCACGCCCGAGTATTTGATACCCATAATCTGAATTAGGATCATGGAGACCTCGCCAAACTAAATAATAATTATTATAATAAAAGACACACCAACAGGTTAAGAGACATACCAGTTGAATGCCAAGTTTCAATCACAACTCCTATATTGAAAATGCAAACGTTGCATAATCACATTCCAAACTTTAGCATCAAAATGAAAGGATAAAAATAGATGCTGATGAGATTCACATCCATTCTCATATAACACACGACAGGTGTGATGATTCAGTCCCATTTTTCAGCAATCTATCTAGTGTTAGCAATTAGCAAGCCAAAGAATAAAGGAATATTTAGGAAAATTAAGTTTACACCACAAAGTGCTAAACCAAGTGCACATGTGATGTCAAAACTCCCATATATATATATATATATGCAATTTTTTAGCGCCGCCCTCCCCTAAAAAAAATCAAAATAAAAACCAGCCAAAAAAAGAAAGAAGAAGAAATTTGCTTAAAAACCACCTTGGCCAGAGTGAGTTTGGAAGTGTAGGATCACAGCCTTTACCTCAAACAAAATTAAATTTGAAAAATAAGAAGCAAGCTAGTGAAGGATTCTATATGATTATTATGACTAGGACAAGCAAGATAATATTCATTTGAAACTGAAAGTGGGAAAACAACGTACTAGGGAGTAGGAAGAGAGTCCTTACGTCCCATTTTATTTACTACAACACAACACTAGGAAGTAAGAATACAGTTCTTACATCCCATTTCAAGCAAGTCCCATTTTATTTACTACAACACAACACTAGGAAGTAAGAATACAGTTCTTACATCCCATTTCAAGCAACACTAGGAAGTAGGAAGGCAATCCTTACATCCCATTTTATTTATTTACTAAAACAAGACGTACGCAAGCGTTAATTAATACAGTATCTTCACGCTTCATCGTCCACCTTCATCATGATATCTCCTTTCTGCGCATCCATGACCATCTCTGCTTTCAGCACATCCATGGCCATCTCTGCTTTCAGCGCATCCATGTCGATCTTCTCGTTCACATCATATGTGTCGGTTATCAAGGAACAATGACATCTTCTAGAGCAAAATGCTTTACTGCCGCCAACTTGACGACACGCCCTATAGCAAACGTTATACTTGCATTTCGCGGATTGGGTGGGCAACACAAGAAGAAGAATGCACATTGTAACGAGAACAGGCTTCATTGCCATCTCTCTCTGCTTTTTCTCTTTCTTAACCCAAAGAGCTAATACTAGCTTACAATTGATGCATTCTAAGAAATGTATATGGAGTATATATATAGGCAACTTGTAGTGGGGTAGAAATATGTCATGTTAATTATCGTAGAAAATAAATTACGTTAAATTGTTAGGAATAGGGGGCGACACCTATGAGAAGCGTGTAAAGTCAAGTCCCTTGATACGATTATATAATATTTATTTCTTTTTCTTTCTTCCTAATTATGTACATAAGTATAAATTATATAGTATTTGGTACTGATGGACCACCTGCACTCATTAAGGGATGATTATATGCTATTTACGTCTTCTTTTTCTCTTCCTAACTATGTACTTAATTATAAATTATAATACTAATTGCATTAGTGATGGACCACCTACCACCTACACTCATTAAGAGATGGTCTCGTAGTGTAAGGGTCAGGTTTGTGAGGGAGTGAAAGGGGTAGTGTTAGTAACCTAGTATGCTCCCTATTCATGATATCTCATGATCCCATGATATGATTAGTACTAGTTATTTCACTTGAATTGAACTCAAGGATCTATTCTCAGATGTGTGATACTATAGAAGTATATTTGCAGTTAACTTTTTATCATATGTATATCTCCAACATAAAATTTTGTGCATGTTCTATTTTTTTATCCTGTTCTAATTGACCAACACTCCATAATTTTATCCTAATTCTAACGCTGGGGACATAAAATTTTATCTCACATCCAAGTGAGGGTATATAAATGCAAAGTAGGGGAAACTATAGGATACTTAAGTGCAATTAAACAATGTATTTTAGGGGAAATTATAGGGAATATAAGTGCAATTAAACCATGTATTTTCTTATTCACAATGAGATTTCACTTTATGATGGAATCCATCACAAAATGACATTTCACTTTAGTAATGAGCTCCATCATAAATTAAATTCAAAATTTTTCTCGTCTCTCAAATCCCCTCCCTCTTTCCCCTTTGTCTCAAACCATTACACTTATCCCCCTCAAAAACGAAGCCTCATGAAAAAAAAAACATACTTGTAACTTTTCACGTGCAAATGCTTGTGCAAAATAGTACTTGCAACTTCCTCTGGCTAAAATATTATCACTTTGCAAATATCAACACTGAAAGTTACTAGTGATAGTGGAAGATACGTGTTGTTTCTCCAGACCCAGCTACTGTGTAGAATCATCCATCATCCATGACCTCCTCCACGTCAGGTACAATGGAAAATATAAGGATCGTGTCAAGATTCGGGACTTTTTTTTTATCCTGAGATTATTTTAATTTATTATAATTCTGGGATACAATAATACTGGAGACTATAGGGAGTTTAATTTTGTATAATTTGTTTGGTTCAATTTGTTATTAACACGTTAGCGCCTATATCATATTGGAGAACATAGGGAAAATTTGCAAAATAGACCGTTTTTATAAAGTAATTAGCGAAATAGACCACTTTTGAGAGTAATTAGCAAAATAGACCTTTTTTGACAAAAGAGGTCGATTTTGAAAAAATGGCTTCAGAAAACATACGGGACTACTAGTCCTGTATGTTTAAAGCTAACTAATCTTATGATTAGTGCACTAATCATTAGATTAGTTAGCTTTAAACATACGGGACTAGTAGTCCCGTATGTTTTCTAAAGCCATTTTTTCAAAATCGACCTCTTTTTCTTTTTGGCCTATTGGCCAAAAAGAGGTCTATTTTGCTAATTACTTTTAAAAGTGGTCTATTTCGCTAATTACTTTATAAAAACGGTCTATTTTACAAATTTTCATTATAAAAATGGTATCTATAGGATTAGAACATAATAGAAAATGTCCACAGTACCCTTCTTTCTATCTGCCATTATTTTGTAAATAATCTACTCTGACTTTAGATCGCGAACAAAGCCTTTGCGAAATACCTTTAACTCTACGGCCCAATATTCAAGACAAACAACAATCACACAAAACACAGGAAAATTTACGTGGTTCAACATTTTGCGTATGTCCACGGGAGGAGGGGACTATGCTATATTTGAAGAAGAAGATGTAATAATATTTTCCTCTCGTTATTGACTCACAAGAGTAATCAATCTGGTCGTAAATCCTCACAAAAACAATAATAACATCGCTCTTGTAAATCCTCACAATCTTCTTCTTCTTCTCATTCATCTTCTCGCATCATATATAGCATGAGGATTTAATGAGTATAAAGGTCGCCTTTCCATCAAAGGCAATAAATATAGGATGCGTTTCGTAATGCGACTTCATGTTTAATTACTATCAGACAAAACTAAGAGGCCGCACTACCTTCAAAATAACTGGGCAAAAATTATGTTTTATTGGAATTTTCTTCGACTCGTTTGTCACATGCTAAGGTATAATAGATTGTGGAATAGGCCTAGTACGAGGAACCAGCCTAAACCACTGGCTCTGAGGATCACACTCCTCATCTTCGCTGAGACACCTGCACGGATTCGTCACGAGGGTACTGCCATCAGACCCAACATCCAGACACAGATTACTCCCGCTCTGAGAAGATACGTGCATTTTGGACTCCGATATCAGATCCCATTTGGATCGCCGATCGTCGCTTTCGTCTACCAGCGTCACCCTCTGGCCGGGGCCTGATTCCTTCAGGCAGCCCACCGCGCCGATAAATTGAATGGTTTTTTGGGGCGTGTATGTCCAGCCCCTCGGAGCGTCGCAGGAGCCTAACCTCAACGGTGTGTTAAGCCAGTCGTCCTGTCCAATGCACAACCCGGATGCAGGATGGTAGAGTACTATGTACTGCGGGAAAAGGCCGAGCCCGGGACCTGCACGCGCGAAGAAAAATTGCAGATTTACGATGTCATGCCACAGCGTGCAAGTCATCTATAAATTTATACCTTGGAAGGGTGATTGGAGAGAAGCGATCCTCTGCAAGAACCTCGGATTCCGAGGCCTCTCCCAGTCCGAACTCAAAACCCCGTACATCTCCTCCATATCGACCACCCCCTCTCTAAGGTAATAACTCCCTTGCAAACCCCAGAGACTCCAATCAACATCCAACTCCGCCGCAACCGCCATCATACACCCCAAGTATCTATTATCCTTCCCGTTCTCCCCTCTCTGATCAACTCCCCACTCGCTCAAAAACAAAGGCAATCCTTGGTTCAGTATGAATCCGGCTCGGTTCATGACACTGGATGTTATCGAAGCGCAAGCATCGTTGACGTTCCGGTCCCAGGCTCTTCCATCCGTAAAACTGTACCAGTGGAGCTCGTGGACGAGTTTGTCGGTGAATGTTAGTTGGACTTTTTGAGTTGAGAGGAAGCTTAGGTCTGTTGAGAAGCTGAGGCCGGATAAGATCACTAGAATGTCTGGGTTTGCTCCGTGCACCGCCTCAGCCCCCATTTGCATGTACCTGTGAAACTTGTTAGAAAGGAAGCTCGATGCATGAAGTTTTCGATTTATAGAAAGGAAGCTCAATTTGCGGGACGTGTTAAACTAGATATAAAATCTCCCCCATAAATTCTAAGTTCTGACTACCAAATTAAGTTATTGAGTTGGTTAATTTCAAATTAAGCTAGAGCTGATGCATCTAGATATGTACATTACATAATGTATACCTGTACCAATCTGGGGCATTTTGTTTGGGACCTCTGAGCTCATTCCTCAGGCTCATGCCGACGACGTTAGTGACTCCTTTAACCAACCTGGCCATTCTAGCCAAACCCTTGATCCATTCCTCCGGGTTGAAGAACTGGTCCCCGAAGAAGCCATTGCCATCATAGTTGTTACAGCACCAACCAGGCTTGCTTACGTGGTTGTCTAGTACTGCCATTATCCCGTGTCGCCCTAGGCTTAAAACCACAGCCTGCCATATGATGATATTCATAATTCGATATGTACGCAATATTGCAAATGGGAATTAAACATATCAGATACTTCACCAAGAACCAAGAAGCAGCAAGTACTAGAACGCAAAAAGATCTGAACGTCCGTAGATACATCGGGATCTGGGATAACGTCCTCGAAAGATTACTAGCGCCCCGATTAATCCATGTAATGTGGTGTGCAAAGTAGTTTTCGAAGGTTATGTTCCAGCCAAAGCTCGATATGAGGAAGACGTATGAGAAAGCTGGTTTTTTTTTTTTAGATAAATGGGTCAATTTAAGTCCAAGGTGCCCATCCACTGTTACTCATTCGATCATGCTGAATATATAGTAGGAGTCGTGGATTGATATATAAAACCTTCTCGCGGACATCAACAAGACAATCATTTATCTCCATTTATACTTTTTTTTTTTAGTTGTGTGGGGAGGAATTATCGGCTTTACTCTACGATGCCGAGCTCAAGGGGTGTCTCAATTTGCCGAAGGTTGTCCATCTGTTTCGCATTTAGTTTTCGTGGGGATGACAGCTTATTATTTTTCAAAGCAACAAATGGCCGGACGTACGTGATCGTCTTCGGTGTTCTACAAATTTATGAGGGATCGAGCTTTAGGCCAACAAATTAATCAACTTTGAAAATTCCTTTTTAATTTTTTAGCAAGATGTATCTACTACTGCTAGGGAGTTTGTTAATTTGAGCAAAGACTTAATATACATACAATACTAGGTAATGGAAAAATATTAGGGGTTGCCAACTCTTTTTTGGGAGGGCAAAGAAACATGCATTGGTTAGGACATAGTCTACACAATCTCTCTTGTTTGAATAATGACAAACTCATATGATACCAATATTGGTTTGAGATGATATAGTTTAGGTAAATACATGTATAGGATATAAGAAAAGTAGGAGGGAAATGACACGAAAACCAACTTAAAACTTGATTTCAGCTTTTCTACCATCGATGGTAGCTATGCATTGATCATCGATGGTAAGAAGAGCTCATCGATGGTCAATATTTGTCATTAATGATTTTCACTCCAGAGACTTTTATATCATCGATGAGCTTCGCAACCATTAATAGGACCTCGACACCATCGATGGTCGAGAGGCACCATCGATGGTAAACACACTGATTGCAAATTTTTTAGATGTAATCTTAGTCATTCATTGTTATTTATTCTCCAACTTCTACTATATATGTTTGGAATATCTCTTTCCTGTCCAATTGGGGAGTCCATGTCATTGAAAGAGAGAGAAAAGAGGAGAGTTCTAAGGTTTTGATTGTGAGAGATCAAGTTGAAGATTTTGACCCTCAAAGGCTCGTTAAACTCTCACTCATCGCACACAATATCCCCAGATCGTTTCAATGAGGAGAGTTGACCTTGGTTTGATCTTCTGCATTGTTCTTCATCGAACTATACACTAACATTTTTTGAAGGATGGTGTGTTTAACAAAAAGGCAGTAAGATCTTTCTTGCATTCTGAGCTTTAATTGTTTGTGTTGATTTTGCTTTGAACTTCTTTGACGACATACTCAAGCAGGTTGAATTGAGGGTTTAGACTAGATAGGGCTAGGAGTTACTCATTGTAAGAATCAAGTTAGATAGCTAGGGCTAGTTGTATTGTATGTATGTTAAATTGGGTTTGTCATTCAGGTGAACTTTTGGTATAGCAAGGGGGCCCTTTTGAGAGAAGAAAGAGTGGACGTATGATTGCTATCTAAACCATTATAAAATCTTTTGTATCCCTATTTGATTGCTCTTGGTGTTTAATCATATTGCTTTATATCATTGATTGCTTCTATTTTACATATTCTACTGCGTATTCTATATTTTTTGGTGAAATATGATAGCAATCCTATTCCCCACCCCCCACCTCCACCCCCACCACCACTAGAATTGCATCCCGGATCTAATAGCATTTAGTTACATTCAAGAAAGAGTGCGGAAGAAAGTTAAGGGTTGGAAGAAATTTTTTTTGTCCAATGCGGGGAAGGAGATTAAAATTAAAGTGGTCACTCGAGTTATCCCGATTTATTCAATGAGTTATCATTTTCTTTTGAAATCTCTTTAAATGAGATTAATCTATCATTGCCCGGTTTTTATGAGGCCAAAGGGAAGATAGAACATAACTTACACGGAGTCAATTGAAAATTCTGTTGGGGAATTTCAGTCTCCCCGCCTACCACGATATGCGCAACTCGGAAGTCAACCCCAATCAATAAGATAGAATAATCACAATCAAGAAAAAAGAACACCGAGATTTACGTGGTTCGGTCGACCAATTTCAACATACGTCCACGGGATAACAATACGAGAAATTTACTATGTATCAGGGAGAACTACAAGAGGAACCACTCAACTCTCGTCTCTCAATCTCTCAACCTCACATACATAATCAACTCTCATATTCTCTCCAAAGCCCACTCCTTGTAATCTTTTGCACGGATAAAGACTACGAAACCCTCTTTCTCTCTCTCATCTACTACATCTCTACTTTTTCTTCATTGGTTTTCCTCCACCAATAGAAGAATATATATAGGGAAATCAAAACCCTATCTCTAGCCTAACTTCCTAATTAGAATATGATTCAAACTCCTAATCATGATAAAACTCAAACTCCTAATCATGGTAGAACTCAAACTCCTAATCATGATAGAACTCTAACCCTATCTAATTCTCATGAAGTTACAAAAAGAATCAAAGATAAAATCCCAACAATCTCCACCTTGGATTTGACTCCCAAACTCCCTTAAAGATATATCATGGTCGTCTTGCAACTTTGCCTCTCTCGCTAGAGTCTTCTATTTCTTTCGCACTCCAAATTGAAGCACCTGCACTCTAATTGGGACGTCTCAGCCCTCGCTATCATCTGCTTCGCCGTGGCGCCTCCACCTCTCTTGTGTACACCAAGATATTTTCACCACCTCTAACATCAGAAGCAAATCAATCATGCTTGTCCTTCCAACTTGAGCCTGACAATAGTCTTCCCCCGCTTGTTGTCCTTGTGCTCCACCTGCATCGCTCGTCTCAAACTATATCGATGCATCTCTCCTACTCCACACTACGAGCTGGATGCCTTTATCTCCTCCATTACTTGGCTTGGACTGAATATGAGTGCTCACCATCTTCAAGTCCAACGCCACCATCTTCATCTCCATGTGTGTCACTTGGTCGTGCTCGCTTGCAAGCTCCACCTAATCTTGAACTGTCCTCCTCAAGTATACACACCAACCAACTCATGCTTCTTATCTACCATCAGATTTGACTTACCGTTAAATAGCGGAATATCAAACTTCGTACCCGAAGAAGTCATCATCCTCTAACCATGATCAAAATTCAAATCAGTCCCTATAGTGATTGAATTTGATAAAACTGATGTCAAAAACGAACTCAGCATGTCGAAAAACCCTAGGAACGACTCCTGAATCACCAAAATCCGCCTCTAAATCCTCAATCGGCTAACAAATCAATCTGGACCGTCGGATCCCATGTGAACAGTGCCCGCTGTGCTACAGTGTTATGCTACAGTAACCTTTCCCTTTTTTCATCTTGATTCTTGTAACGCCGATTTTTAATCTTGCACGTCGTCGTCTTCTATCTTGCAAACTCGCTCTCGGATCCATCATTTTCGCTCTGATACCACTTGTTGGGGAATTTCAGTCTCCCCGCCTACCACGATATGCGCAACTCGGAAGCCAACCCCAATCAATAAGATAGAACAACCACAATCAAGAAAAAAGAACACCGAGATTTACGTGGTTCGGTCGACCAACTTCGGCCTACGTCCACGGGGCAACAATACGAGAAATTCACTATGTATCATGGAGAACTACAAGAGGAACCACTCAACTCTCGTCTCTCAATCTCTCAACCTCACATACATAATCAACTCTCATATTCTCTCTAAAGCCCACTCCTTATAATCTTTTACACGGATAAAGACTACGAAACCCCCTCTCTCTCTCTCATCTACTGTTTCTCTACTTTTTCTTCATGGTTTTTTCTCCACCAATAGAAGAATATATATAGGGAAACCAAAACCCTATTTCTAGTCTAACTTCCTAATTTGAATAGGATTCAAACTCCTAATCATGATAGAACTCAAACTCCTAATCATGATAGAACACAAACTCCTAATCATGATAGAACTCTAACCCTATCTAATTCTCATGAAGTTACAAAAAGAATCAAAGACAAAATCCCAACAAATTTTTGGGTAACTCCTAAAAATATATTGGGATGGGTTTTCAAGACATTGAAGAACTTAATTTGGTAATGCTTGGTAAACAAGGTTGGCAGTTCATTCACAACACTGATTTTTTATTGTCCAAGATACTAAAATCCAAATATTTTTTCCTAATTCTAATTTTTTGGAAGCAAAATGACTCTCCTATGTGGAAAAGTCTTTGGAAGGCAAGACTAATTAATTATTACTGATGATATTCAATGGTTAACAGCCAGGTGACGGATCAATGACCAGATTTTGGGGTAACCACTTGATCCCCTTATCAAATGGAGTGAGAAGAATAGCTTCACTGCTAGCTGGATGTGAAGATGTGAGGATTGTTGCCTTAATGATGGTCGATCGTCGACTGGATAGAGATTTAATAAATGATATTTTTCCTCTTTAGGAAGTTGTAGTCATTCTAATATTGAAGAAATTTTCAAAACAAACCCATTCATTTTTTTTGTTCTCAAAATAGACCCCCTTGAGTTTTATTTATTTTATCTTAATCCGGTTCCTAAATAGTCCGGGTTGTTAACCCCGACTATTTAGTACATAGAATGTTAGGATTTAGGGCTATAATTGAGGTTTTACAACCTCCTAAATAGTCGGAGTTGGCAATTCTGACTATTTAGGAATTGGATTTAGATAAAATGGGTCTATTTTTATAAATAAAACTCAAGGGGGTCTATTTTTAGAAAAAAATATGAATGGGTTTATTTAGAAAATTTCTTCTTCTAATATTCCCTGTTGGA